AGAGAGAGATGTATATATGGATATATTACTGAACAAAACGGGCGCGTCAAGTATGTTGCTGGATATATTGCTCATTTTCGATTGTCTCTATGATTTTCTATTTGTAATCGAGGTAAAAATACTTTTTCAATTTTTCTGCGTTTCTTATTAGGCTATCTATTACATTTCGTTTTCTCATTCTGGGGAGAATCACATTAGAGGTTAAAAAAACGAATCGATTTTTTTTTTGCATAAATCGCTAGCTTAACAATCCAAGAATACGCTGCCAAAATTTGAAAGCGAAATTCGCATTCGTTTAGATTTTATGAGCATAGAATCGAGCGTTTATCGGGTACAGGCTACTGACTCGAGCGCACAGCAGGTAGGGCCGCTTCAGGTAGTCGCTCTTTGTACTTACGTAGCTCCCCTTGTAGGGAACCCTACCTTTGTATCTTTCTTTTCCAATAACGGTATAGAAGGTACTAGAAGCATCAACACAACGGATTATTTCGGTTATATTCTATATCTTAAAAAAACCTTTTTAAAAAAAAGAAAAAAACGTACGCCATGTGCATAAAAAAGATATTGAACTTCTTGATCCAAAACAGATATGAGATAAATATAATTGACCAAGTGTATTCTTCATTACGCCAGTCACATATAAGACAGACCGAAAGTGACTACAATTGTCAACTGTATTATAGTGAAAAAAAAACTTGGCGTGCCCGGGTCGCATTAATTGTAAACATTATTTCAACATTGTATTTGTATTATGAATTAAAATAACAGACATATGTATACAGATATAATATATACGTATAACATAGTGATGTAAATTGTGAGACATGAAAATATATTCACAAATAATAGATGTGATGTAAATTATGGACAAGTATAATATTTAGATATATATTTTAGAAACATTATAAATAACAACTTTTTATGTTCAGTAAGCAATTATTAACATCTTTTCTTTTTGAATTATTGTTTTCGCTTATATAGTGTATACTGCAGAATATTGCGATAGAACCAAGGTTCTAGAATATTGAATGACTAAATCCGTACGGTGGATGGGGCAGCAGCTCGTAGCCCATTTCGACCAATTTGGCCGTGGCACCGACCGATATTGCTCTTTTTTCATTTTTCTAAAATCCGCGGACACGCCCGCTTCCACACGCGGTCAAAACAATTAAACTACGAGTCCGATTCGGCTGAAATTTTGACAGTAGCCATCTACGAGAATGTACTACACGTTAGTAAATTTCTCTTGCGATAGAAAAGCCATCGGGCGTTGAGGCTAAGTACTTATCGGACCGCCCTCGTATATAGTTTCTGATAGACTGAAATTTCTTATTCCTTATTTCTAATTCCTTATTCCTTCTATATTGTGGCTATTAATTTACACAGGATACATATAAGGATGGATATATTTGTTGTATGGAATATTTAAAAATTGGCAAATATCTTATACTTTTGCAAAAATATATTTTATTATACTTAAATTATAAAAAATTAATGAAGTGGGGTTATATATCAGGAGACGCGTAGTAGCGTCTCCCGTCAAGTAAATGAGAAAAACATTATATGAGGAATTATATGAGGAAAAAATAAAAAAAATTATATGAGGAAAAGATCAATATGAGAAAAGGTGTCGATCGATAGAGACGCTACAGCGTATCCTTTACAGGAAGGAGAACGCTTTTATAGTAAAAAATTATTATTTTGTTTAAACAAATTGGTATTTAAAAAAAATGAATATATTGGGAATAAATTTTGATTTTTACAATGAAAATGAGATAATAATCACATTCGTAAGTGCACTGGATGCAGAGATATTCATATATGCATGCATTTTCTGTCCGATTTATGTCATTCAGAAACGTCGTCGTCGTCGTCGTCGTCGTCGTCTTTGCTAGACTGCAAAATCTTGTCCTCTTTTACTACACCTTTTATCTACACTTCCAACACCTTTTATATATCGTTTCTACATATCTTCTGCACTTTTTTTCTACACTTTCTCTACACTTCTTTAACACTTTTTCTACACCTTTTCTGCACTTTTTTTTACACTTTTTCTACAACTTTTTACAACTTTTGTTTGTACATCTTTTCTGCACTTTTTTCACACTTTTTCTACAACTTTTATATCTTTTCTACATCTTTTCTGTACTTTTTTGACACCTTTTCTGTACTTTTTCTAATTGCATAAATCGAATTAGAGCGCAATGATTGAGAGAAATTAGTCGATATGCAAATAACTTATATTGTATGTGAAAAATCATTACTTTTATCAATATGAATACAATTTGTATTGTAATTAATAAGAACTTAACAAAAATTTGTAAAATCACTGAAAAAGGCATGAAAAATATAGAAAAAGATCATGAAGTGTACTTTACAATATCTTTACATAAAATCATTTTATAATGTTCTCAATCATAATAAAAAGAATAAAAAAATAATATTACGAAAAGAATGTAAAATAAAAATGCAATGTTTTCACGCATATATATCAATTAAGGAAAAACGAAATTATATATTGATTTATTAATTAAACAATAATGATTTATTCGTCACTGATATGTATTTGTTTATCACTTAATATTTAATAAATGGAGATTAGACGATACGAAATTATAAACTAGTATTTTAATTAAGTTAAGGTTTTGAAATAATGATTTATATGATAACAATATTTATTTGTTTATAATTTAATTTTTATCAGAAAAATATAGGACGGAAACAAAATTTTATACATATTGGCATTTGTTAACTACATTATCATTTTCTAACTTAATTATCATATATCAGTTTATAATTTCGTTCCGTCCGATTTCCATTTGTTACATACTAAGTTATAAACAAATGGGTATTGGTGACAAATTAACTGTTATTTCGTCATAATTTCCTAGCTTAATTAACAAATACCAGCATATAACGTCGTTTTTGTCTGTCTCTTTTCATTAAATATTAAATATTATAGATATTGTTTACGAATAAGTCGATATATCATTAACATTTCCTAGTTTATTTAACAAATACTAATTCATAATTTTGTTTTCGTATAATCTTTTTTTTTATTAAATATTAAATTATAAACAAATGGATATTGGTGGCGAATAAATGTTGTATCATTTTAATTTACTAGCTAAATTAACAAATACCTGCGTATAATTTCGTTTCTATCTGATCTCTTTTCATTAAATATTAAGTTAAAACGAATAGATATCGTTGACAAATAAATCGATATATCATTAACATTTTCTAGCTTATTTAACAAATATTAGTATATAATTTTGTTTTCCTATAATCTCTTTTTTTTAAATATTAAATTATAAACTGACTGAAGTTTGGAACGTTCTTGGAACGAATTTTTCAAAACGATTTCTCCCATTTCTCCTTCGGCACAGATGTTCCTCTGCATGCCAGAAAACAAATAGAAAACACCCCGATCGAATACATGTGTCGGAAGACACCCTTATGGGCGAAAAACCACCCTCGAAACAACTTAAAAATTTCTCAAAGATCGTAGAACGATTTCTCCAATTTCTCCTTTCGTACAGAGGTACCTCTGCATGCCGGAAAATAAATAAAAAACACCCCGATCGAATACATGTGTCGGAAGACACCCTTATGGGCGAAAAACCACTCTCGAAACAACTTAAAAATTTCTCAAAGATCGTAGAACGATTTCTCCCATTTCTCCTTTTGCACAGAGATCCCTCTGCATGCCAGACAATAAATAAAAAATACCCCGATCGAATACATGCGTCGGAAGCCACCCTTATGGGCGATAAACCACACTCAAAACAACTTAAAAACTTCTAAAAGATCGTAGAATGATTTCTCCCATTTCTCTTTTTGCACAGAGGTCTCTCTGCATGCCAGAAAACAAATAGAAAACACCCCGATCGAATACACGCGTCGGAAGGCACCCATATGGGCGAAAAACTATCCTCGAAACAACTTAAAAATTTCTAAAAGGTCATAGAATGATTTCTCCCGTTTCTCCTTTTGCACAGATGTCCGTCCGCATGCGTGACAATAAATACAAAATACTCTGATCGAATACACGCGTCGGAATGCACCTGAAAGAGTCCTTCACGTGATTCAAAGTTTGCGTTATTCAACATTGTATGTCCATTTTAATTGTACAGTAAGGTCATAGAGCAGGTTTAACCTTTTCACTATAATTATTGAAAATTTATTTAGTGTGGATTCATACACTGAGAAAAAATGCTGTTGATTCAATTAAAATTTATGTCACGGGCTGTTACTAACATAAGTATTTAATTTATGTATTTTTTTATTGATACAATAGCTTTAATTATAGTTTTAATAATCAAGATCTTTGTATCAATAAAAATATACATGAATTAATTACTTATGTTAGTGACAGCCTGTGATATACATTTTAATTGAAATAACAGTATTTTTTCTCAGTGTATTTCCGTAGATTTTATTATAATATTGTATATAGGCTTCTATCTAAATACAGTCTGTCTAGTAAAAGCGTGGAAGGCCTATCTCAAAGAATAATTGCTTACCAGCGTTAAAGTTATATTGATTGTATTCAGTAGGATTTTTCAGTAGGATTCAGTAGGATTCAGTAGGATATTTGTTTTCTGGCATGCAGAGAAACATCTGTGCCAAAGAAAAAATGGGAGATATCATTTTACGATTTTTTAGAAATTACTAAGTTATTTCGAGGGTGGTTTATCGCCCATAAGGGTGGCTTCCGACGCATGTATTCGATCGGGGTATTTTTTATTTATTGTCTGGCATGCAGAGGGATCTCTGTGCAAAAGGAGAAATCATTCTACGATCTTTCAGAAATTTTTAAGTTGTTTCGAGGGTGGTTTTTCGCCCATAAGGGTGTCTTCCGACACATGTATTCAATCGGGGTGTTTTCTATTTGTTTTCTGGCATGCAGAGGAACATCTGTGCTAAAGGAGAAATGGGAGAAATTGTTTTGAAGAATCATTCCAAGAACGTTCCAAACTTCAGTCAGCTTAAATTATAAATAATGAAGTGACAATTAAGTTATAAATAAATAAATATCGATAATAAATAAATTGTTACATCATTATCATTACTTTTCTATTAGTGTAATTATCATTTGTTTTTTATTAGTGTATCTTAATTATGAAAGAACAGTAAATTGAATGATTGTAACTAGCTGCTGTATATAAACCAATATTTCTCATAGAAAAGAACAAAGAAAAGCGGAATAGTAATTGGCACATATTAAATTAAATATACAATTTAGATAAATATTTTAATAGCTTAATTATTTTTAATTATTATCTTTATTATTAATTTTTAAATATAAATACGAAATATTATTATTAGCAAGAACTTAGCAAAAATTCGTGAAATCCACAGGAAAAAGACATTAAAAATGTAAAAAAGAACGTCAAGTACAGGGTGCGGCAGCATAACTTCCTTTTTTCAAAACTTAATAAAACTCATTGTATGAATCAGAACATTTTTATTTTTTTTTTATAATGTAGGCGCATGCCTAAAGTTTTGTTTTACATAGTTTTGAAGATCAAATTAGATAGGTGACATCCCTCATTCTGCATACATTGAGTAAACCGATTTCTGGCGTTTGTCATGACTCTTGCCAGCATAGCCGGCCCGCTCTCCCGATTTGACCCCTTGTGAGTTTTTTCTATGGGGTTTTTTGAAATCCCGTGTTTATGTGAACCGTCCAAGTACCCTACAAGATTTGAAGACCAACATCCAGGAAGAAATTGCCAACATAACTGCTATGCTGGCAAGAGTCATGACAAACGCCAGAAATCGGTTTACTCAATGTATGAAGAATGAGGGATGTCACCAATCTAATTTGATCTTCAAAACTATGTAAAACGAAACTTTAGGCATGCGCCTACATTATAATTGTTGAAGGTTTATTTATATTAGATTAGTTCAAAATGTTATTTGTATTGTTTTTCGTCAATTTGTACGAGATATTGCAATAACAATCTTTTTATATTTTATCAAATATATATATATATATAT